TTTTCAGACTAACAAGACAAATAATCTTACACATTCTGAAAACAAGATTATTATTCTTACACAATCAGTTCTTGCTTAGTAAATCAGTCTCAAAACAAGATCAAAAAGACTTTTTGGCTGGATACAAGGTTTTAAAACTTGGTAAGATGGACGTTTTTTGCAGTGTGCATGTTCCTTACAAATGTGGCACCATTTAAAAGGGAAACTAACAGGCATTCTGACAGTAAAAGATTTTTTTCCAAGAAGCATTGTTACAACAAAGAAATTATTTCAAACACACACGTCCTTACTTTTTGTGCCTTTTCATTCCCAGACCAGAAGTTTGCTCTGTTTTATTTCCTCCTAAGTTTCTCCAGATAAAAATTCTCTGGATCAACTTCATCACATTTCTTCTCCGAGTTGTCCACTGGGCTGCCAGCATCGTGAGCTTTGCCCTTTTATTGCACGGCGCCCGAATTCAGATGAGCCGATGGTTCACCTTCCATTGTTTTCCTGTTCGTGCGAACAAAAACTGTTAATAAAGACAGATTTATTTGCTTAAATCAGATTATAAAAGGCATGTTGAAGGAGTAAAACATATAAACAGCTTGATCCCATCCGGCACAATTCAGCTTTTGGACCGGAGGGGTTAACCCATCTCCACCCGTACACGCAGAGATCTGAATGGCATTATTATCTTTTCGCAGCCTGTGATCCCTCAAAAACCTACGGAGTCCGCCCCGGTTGGATGAATATCCTCTTGCAGAAACACTGTGGTTCAAGAGGTGAGTTAAAAAAAAAGAAAAAGAAACCCTGCGAACGAACGACTTCACAGAGCGTTCAAAGCCTTTCTGACCGAGCCAACAGAGGTATTGGTTTTTACACCTGACTTTAAAGGAAGACAGTGAAACAAGAAGACAGATAAGGGATGAAAGGATTCTTTCAGGCAAGTATAAACATCAGATTTGGGTTAAAAAAAGTGAGGGAAAAAGGCAGCCATGTCACCATTTTCATCTTATGAACAGCTCACCTACACGTTTTTCCCCAAAGTTTTTTTGAATTGTATATTCAAACAAGAGCTGCATCCATCCAATCTGGGTGTCTGAGGCACGAAGTGTAAAATAAAATGATAAAAAATGTCACTAACATGTTTTCATTATTTAGCTCACTTTTTGAGTGTAAAATCTTCCTCCTGTGACAAAAGCAATCGCTGACACCGAAGCCGCTCACGCTGCTGAAGACGGCATTTAAAATTCAAACACAAAATGTGTTCATTGGAAACAACGTGGATGGTACCTGTGGTCCGGCAGTTTGAAGTGCGGCTCGGACACTGATCGCAGCTGCAAGTTTGACGCCCTGTAGGGAAACTGTGATAGCATTAGCAGCGATGGTGGTTGCTATTGTCTCAGGATGATGATGTCATAGCAAGAGCCAAGAACTAACAGAAGAGGCTGCGTTCCATTCCAAAATACAAGATTTCATTTAGATTTAGAATTTAATACTTACGTAATACAACATTGAAATTTAATATTTAGCAATAATTAGATAAGTACTAACTCTTGATACACATCACTTAAAATAACCAGACTATTTTTTCTTTACTATCAAGCTGCTTTTGAAAGGAGTCCATACTGATAATATAAAAACAAGGAAAGTGCAACCCGCTTGGAAGACATGACCTCTTTAAAACGTGCCTGGATGAACTACTAGAAGATCTGAGGGTCTGAGTTGAAGTATACTGAGGAGTCTGAATGTGCAAAGCCTTAAAAGRTAATCCCTAGATTCAAACTTGACTTAAAAGCTGAGCCAAAACAAGTTTTTTTTCTCTCTCCTGATTTGTGCTGTAAGTTAGTGATCAACGATCAGAAAARCTGAAAGTAAAACGGCAGGCAGTCTGCATGAATGTGGCCACAGATTTAGCTGAATTTGTTATTATTGACCTAGAGGTAGTACATGAAGCAAGAATAGAAGTGGTTCGAAAACAGAACCCTGAGGTACACCACCTGACAGGTCAGTGTTGAATGAAATTAACTCTGATCAGGAAAATGACCTTTATTGCTCACGGTTGCAGCCAGCAGTAGCTCAGGGTATGAACTCGTCAGTCTCCACATGGCAGGAGACATTTTCCAGACACTAAAAGCATGTGATATAAAGCTACGTTTAACTTGTTTTGGTCTCATTCCTTGAACCGCTCGCCCCCTCTGTTGTTACTTCGCAGTTTAAACATGAAGCGTGACTTCAATTATACTGTATATGTAATGTCCTTGTATGATGCAGCCCCACTTCTCTCTATCAATTACGAATCTGGACAAAGCATAAATGAAAACAAGCCGGTCTGTTAATGCGGCGCCGCTTAGTCTTTAAAAAAATAACCATCTCAATTCCAGGTCTAAATAGGCAGAGCAGAAAGTGGTCTAAAATCAAAGCATGACCGACAGGGTCCACATGAGAGGGTGGGTGTTTCCTAATGAGACACAGCAGATGGTCACATGAATATTCCCAATTAAAGGTCCTACTTTTATGTTGGGTGTTGCACAACATTAAAGTGGAATAAAAGCAGTGTTTATAATGCATTTAAATTCACATTCAGGTGTTTATTTTATTCTAATGCTGCAGCTTTAGCGTGAACTTAAAAAGCCAAACAAGGAACAAGACAAGGCTCTTTATCTCTGGACCTCAACAGCTGCTATCATGGGTGCCACTTTTGTCCAAACAACACGGTAGATGCATTATGAATTCAAAAGTGGGGTCGCTTGAGCTGATAGGGACCTTCTCTGAGTTAAAAATAGCCCCGTCAGGAACTATTGGTCTGACTTGGGGAGCTGAACCTGCTGCCCTTCAGCTTGGCCTGCAGAGAGAGAGAAAAAGCATTTTTTTTTTTTTACTTTCAGACATGAGCAGAATGTCAGAGGAAGCTCTTGTTTTGAAGTAAATTGTAATGATTATTTTGATGACAGGTGTTATCAGCTGGTCTGTGGGTGTTTTTTTTTTTACTGTTCACACAAGTTCAAGTCGTTGGAGGAGTAATAAATGAAACACGTAGGTTATATTAATATGAGCAAGACTGACATTGTGACAAAGCGCGTTGTTCAACAAAACAAATCTTATTTGCAGAAATCTGGTGCAAAATAACTGATGCCGTCACTGTTGCAGAACACCAACTGTCACATAAATCCAAGCAGTCTGGAGCAATCTCTGCTTTGTGATATTGTAAGAAATAGTTCAGATTTTACAAAGTGGGGTTCTGTGGAAAGCACCAGTGTGCACAGCTAACTAAAAAAAAACTATCTTCACTAACCATTAATCCGCAAAACAAGAATCTTAGCTCTGCTTATGTTGAATGGAAAAAATAAAGAAATTAGAAGAACTAACGCTAACTATTAAGACGATTAGCAGTCATCACTGGTGGGACTGACTGGTGAGATCATTTGTGGTAAATTGGCCAATCCAAACCAGTTACAGCTCTAACTTGTATTACTTCCAGCTGATCCCATTCAGAATAAAAGCATTTGAGCGCATTTGTATTTTCAAAAATACAAAAAAAAAAAATAAAATAAAATAAAAAAATCGAAGTTGGTCAAAGAAGAAATAGCAAATACTCCCTTTACTACATTATATACGTAGTTATTTTTGTAGTCATTATTTAAATATTGATAAATGTTATTTTAGTTTTTTGATGCTCAAGTTTAGTCGCTAAAAATGCTACATGCACTCAGTRCCTGACGTAGCACTACTTGTAAGAGGAGATAGCTTTTATTACATTCAGGCTAAATGGCATGAAAAGTTTTACAACTGCAATTTTTTTAACAATTAAGCCAAAAATGAGTGAAAGCTAAATGGTCTGCAAACAGTTCGCAAAATTTGAAAACAAAAAAAAAAAGCTAATCTGCTGAATGAGAAGCTAGTTCTGCTATTAGAGGGTCAGCAGAACTCATGACTGGTGAAAATGTTGTGAAGGTCAGTCTGAGTGATCTACAACAGGTAAGATATTCATTATTTATCACCTTTATAGAGAGTCCTACTTTAAAACGATCTTGAACTTGTTTTACATAAAAGCCTGAAAATGATTTTTGAGTTTTTTGCTTTCAGCAAACTCATGAAGAACTAAAAAGTGACAAATCCACATGAATGTGTTTAAAGGATTTTGTTGGAAGCAGTTATGAAAGTTCACCCTTGGTTTGTTTTTGTGGTTTTGGACTTTGGAAGCAGCCCCCCTGCTTTAAATCATCCGAGAGACAGCTTAGTGTGAGTAACGGTGCAGCCATGCGCTCGACCTCCAGCGCCGCTGACGCCACCACTTTTGAAAACTGCATCTGGGAGAATCCGGCAGGGCGAGAGGTTATCTTCGCCCATGACTTCAACATCATTTAACTGCACTGACAAAAGGAAACAGAGAAATGAGAGCCAGAGATGTGCGATTTAACTCCATCCTCACAGGTAAAAACGGGAAGCAAGAACAGCCAAATGAAGTTAATCAATTCCTTTTTATTCCCTGGAAACACAATAGGAACAAACATGATCCAGTATCATTCGTTTTGTTTTTTTAAAATGATCATTTTACAGAATGACTTATCTACAAATGCATATCATCATCATCATCATCATCATCATCATCATCATCATCATCACAGTTTGAGTATTTCACAAAACAGAGCAAAAGCAGCAAAATGACAGACGTTTTCATTTATTTCATTCTTTTTCTAAACCGTTCAGCACTTGCACATATTAAACAGTGTCTTCATTCACACTCATTGGCTCATTCATTTTCACAAAGCTGCAGCATGGCTTCATTTCAAGGCGGTGGAGCGCAGAAAGTCTGGGATAAGCAAGCACTCGGCCTGATTTGGGCGAAAATCCGGAGACGAGCATCGGAGAATCACGGGGACTTAATTAGGATGTGGTGCAGGCATCTTCAACAAACGGATTCGGCAGCAGAAACCTCCTGTTTATTTAGGAGGGACCTAAATTTAAGGCAAAAATTCATTTTCGTCCTGAAAAACAGTTAGTTTCAAAACGAGAGGGGGAATTAAGATCTCCAGGTTTGCTGGAAGCAGTTAAAAAAAAACTGATGCTATTTTTTTGAAGAGAAGTCAGCTTGGATGTAATAAAAGTAGACTCCCATCAAATGCAGAGCACTTCTGCACTGCTGCAGCAGAGAGCCTTTAAGGTCTCTGTGACCTCAATACTTTCATCTTCATTCACGTAGTGGTCCACTTCTGCATCGCCTCGGGGTGAATGGTAAAGGGATGGGCCTGTCATGACCCCTTAAAAGAAGGAAAAATTAAAAAAAGGGATGAGGAGCTTATGTTTTGTGACAGCTTCAGCAATCAGATGGAATGAAGAGAGAACGAAAAAACAAAACACGAAACATGGCACGGCGTAACGAAGCTGCTCTCCCTTCCACCCTGCTGGGTTTAGAGCTCGAATAATAAACCACAAATCATCTGCCGAGGGGCGCTGTCCTGTATCGCTGGGAGGTACTGAGCTGCGGGTGTTTTCGTGCGATTTGGAAGGAACGGGCTCGACAACAAGCTCCGGGYGGACGGCTGAAGTGAGGCGTAAAYGCAAAAAAACAAAAAACAAAAAGCTTTGAGGGGTGGGAGAAGGCACACAAGCAGCCATGCACACATCCAATTTTAAATATTCAGCACAGGTGCACAAATAAGCTATAAAATAAAAATGCAGGACACTGGCACACCAGCTCATTCAGAAAATGATGTCAAATAAAAGAACAAAAATGGAACAGCATTGCACTTTGTCCCTGGATAGATTTCTGTTTGCTTTCCTGAGCTACATCTACTCACCCCCCGTTCTCCCTCTGATTAGTCTACACTTGATTTACCTCTAAAGACTCAGCGAAGCTACTAAATAAATCTCAATAAAGAGGAGTGTACAAAAATACCTCAACATTTTAGTCTCTGATCTCACAAAAATCCCATCCTGTACATCAAGTCTTTTTACACGCAACAGTTTGAAACAAGGAATGATTAAAATGCCACAGACTAGAGATGGATCTATTAATCAGCAAATAGACGCTTTTAAAAATCGGCAAGTAGAGATGTCTTTGCAAGCTCAGTTATTTACCAAATATAAACAAGCTGCTGCAACCAAATTACAGTTTAGAATGCTTTTATATACTTTTAAGTGTTAATTTAGGTGAAGCCATTGTTTGATTTTGTTAAACAAAAGTCACGTTTTGACATTTTTTACGTGTTGCATCGATCAGCTGACATTTTTTTTTGAAAGGTCGACCTCTACCAAAAATCTTATTTAAAAAAATAATAGACTTAATTAAGTTTTTCTAAATAAGCACAGATTTTGGTCAGTATGTATTTATTTTTCTAAATAACTACCGTACTTAACTTAAATACACATATTGGAAAAACCATTGGAAAAAACTTGTACACTTAAAAATATTTATATATATGTAAAAAAAACTTTGTTGCCTGAAAGAAAATCAAAAAACCAACTAAAATGTGGGAGCTGGTTGTAGCAGCTGCTACTGCATCTTTCTTATTTGCACAGGCCGATATCAGCCAATTAATCCATCTTTCTCTATTTTAGGGTTCTAAGACATCAAAAACAAACAAACAAACAAACAAAAAAAAGCTATACACCCGGGACAGACTTCATCAAGAAGACTAAAATGTTTGAGGCATTCAATTTTCATAAATTAGGATCAAAGACAAAAAAAAGTGTGATTTACAATAATTCATAAAAACTAAAACATGGGCAAATAAAACAAATAAATTAAATAAACTGGCGAGAAACAAAAATTACATTCAGTTTGGAAGACAGCAGTGCATTTCAACCTTTATGTCATTTTACATATTTTAGAGCTTGATTCTAATTTATTGTAACTGAAGAGCGAGTCCCCCCCCCCCCACCACACACACACACACACACATGGGTACAGGGAACATCACAAAAATGCTTCCTGAAATTCAGCACCTGTGCCACACGGACGGGCGATTCCGCTGATGGGGGACGCCTCGCTCCACCAGCTTGATCGTAAGTGCTGTGCTGAGCAGGTGGGGGTGGAGGGGAGAAAAACAACAAAAAATAAATAAAAATAAAACAAAATAAACGGGTGGAAGAAATGCACCGGTGGCACACGGGGTCCAATCATGCCAGGGCGGATCTGTTTTTAACTTCAGTACAGCTGAGCCGAGAAAGCAGATCCTCAAAAATACACTAGGCTTGACTGATGGGACTTCAGGGGACGAGGAGACTTCTATTCAGATTGTTTTAATACGATTCATTTACTGGCAATTGTGATTCAGGAAGAGTTCGGAAACATCTGTGATAACGCCATCCAGATTAAAGCAACGAGTCCGCTTGGCAAGGCTTCAGGGAGACCGACGTGAGCCAGAAGGGGCGTAGCTGAGGCGATGGTACCATATGGATGGATCAGATGGTTCAAGTAAGCTTGGAGACTTTCTCTTAAAAACAGACAGAAACGAGCCATTCAGAGTTCTCACGTCCCACTGGCACTTACAGCACGTTTACTCTTTCATACTTTTAGGTCTGGGGCTTTCCCCAGGCCAGTTCTTTGCTTCACTTCGACCTGACCCCATCATCTGGATTCTTCTGCTCCTTGATGAGTTTTTCAATCTCAGCCCCCAAAGTCTGCAAATTCTCCTGAGAAACAAGGAAAAAAAAAAGTACATGAGTTACAGGTAGTGCTGGTCAACTTAACACAAAAAGAATGGAGTTTCTTTTTCTTTTCTCTTTTTGTTAAGACTGGAGAAACCACTTGTTGCCATAAAATAAAATAAAAAATAAAAATAAAAAAGCTTCCTTTACAACTACACTGTGTTAAGTCTTGATTTGGCTTTGTCACAGCATTTTGTTTTGCATTACTGTGTTTTATTTTTAAACTTTAATTCCTGTTTTGTACTAATCATTTTTCACTCACTGAAATAAAAAAACTCTCCACTTGCACTTTATCTTAATTTGTGGTCCCCCTTCAAGCTTTTGTGTTTGTGTGTGTGTGTGTGTGTGTGTGTGTGTGTGTGTGTGTGTGGTGGGGGGGGGGTTCTTTAAGTTTGACACAATAGGAAGCTGACTGGATGAAAAACGTGAAGATGTTTATCAAAGCCTGTGCCCACGTGGATTTTTAAAAGTACTGAGGGAGCAGAGAGTCAAACATCAAGGAAGCTGCAACAATACAAGCAGACAGAATGGTGACATGTTCTGAAAGTGTGGGTGTGACAGAAAACGAAAGCGTAGGGTGGGATTATTCTGTTCTTTTATGCTCAACTAAACTCCCATCTTCTAAGAAGACCATTTAATTTGCTGTCTGAATGTTGTTTTTAGATCAGAGGTGGTGATTCTTGTCTCATTTTCACACTAAAAATCTTACTTTCAAAAACAGACAAAGCCTCACTTTGAGTCTTGCCTTTAAGTCCCCTTTATAATAATAAATAATAACACATTAGTGTTATATAAAGCTTTTTGAGACCCTCAAAAATAATTTACGATTTCATGAATCAGTCATTCACACACACACAACAGTAAGCTACAATGTAGCCACAGCTGCCCTGGGGCACACTGACAGAGGCGGGGCTGCCGTACTGCGCCACCGGACCCTCTGACCAGTAGTAGGCAAGGTGGGTGAAGTGTCTTGCCCAAGGACACAACTGAGACAGCTGGAATGGGGGATCAAACCAGTAACTCAGTAATTCCAGGAAGACTCCCCGCTCTGCCACAGCTGCCCCGTACAAAAAGCCAGATTTATAGGTCTTTGTAGGATGTTGGACAGGTGTAATGAGGTGGTTTGTTGTTCTGGTGGCAGCATGTTGGGCTTCTGGATGGAGTCTGAGGAGCCGGTGGTGGTAGCAGGTGCATTATGTTGGGTGTAAGCTACCTGTGGACAGCAACAATTTGTTTTTAAAGTCTTGTCCATCTATTCATACTGTTCCACATACTCCAAGTCGGGTCATGGGGTCACAGCTTGAGCTAGGGGGTCCAGACCTCTCTTTCCCCAACCACTGCTTCCAGCTCTTCTGGGAGGATTCCAAGGCGAGCCCCGGTCTCCTCCCGGTCAGATATGCCCGAAGCACCACCCCCACATAGAAGACTCCAGGAGACATCCTCACCAGATGCCCGAACCACCTCAAATGGCTCCTCTGAATGTGGAGGAGCAGCGGCTCAACTCTTCCCTGGATAACTGAACTTCTCACACCATCTCTAAGGATGAGTCCAGCTGGCTACCCTGCAAAAAAAACTCACTTCGACCGCTTGTATTCACAATCTTGTTCTCGCTGTCATTACCCAAAGTTTGTGGCCATAGGTGAGGGTAGGAATGTAGACCGACCGGTAAACAGAGCTCCATAAGAGCTCAGCTCCAAAACGCTGCAGAAGCTGCAGCGATCCATCTATCAATCTCAAGCTCCATTCTTCTTGTAAACAAAACCCCACGATGCTTGAACACCTCCACACCAACTCAGAGAGAGCAATCCACCCTTTTCTAACTGAAGACCACAGACTCATTTCAAAGTCTTATGTGTGTTTGTTTATTCTAGACTTATGACTTTGGCAACTTCAAACTGTTCTTTTAGTTTTACTTTTAAAACATGTATTCACTCCTTTTTGACTTTTAGGTCAGCAGTGGGGCTCTACATTTACACTGGGCCTGTGGGCCAGCTATGCTGCCTTCACTGGAACCAGCACCTTGCAACAATCATCCACATTCTGGTAAAATCTCCTTCACATCATGACAAGACTACAGACTGAGGAGACTACAGTACTCACGCCTGAGCTATAACTCCATCAGCATCCTGCTAATGTGGCGTAATCTTTTTGTGCATATCTCCTCCAGGCACGGTCCGAGAGAGTCATGGGCTCATGAGGGAGGATCTTGGTGGGAATGTGTTGCTGATATATAGACCCTGCAGCACAGGACAGCTTCTCAAAAAAAAGTGGACAATGGACTGAAGCAGGGTCAGGGTTGCCTTCATACTAAAGGAAGTTTGCCAAAAATAAAAATGATCCAGTCATATTTTAACTAGGGGTGTAAGAAAATATCGATACACTGAAATATCACGATATTTCATTTCCCGATACTGTATCGATATTCTAAAGCCCTGTATCGATTTTTTATTAAGGTTTAAAATGTCAACTTTCCTGCCAGCCATTCATTTTATGTTGTAGTTCAGCCTCTGACCACTAGTTGGCAGCAGTGAGCCAGCCATTTGGCTCCTCTACCTCTTGAGCGCCAGAGAGTAAGAGAGCATTAGCATTGTAAGTAAACATTAGCTTCATGCTCCGATAGTTGAATCTGAACGGAAAAGACCGACACCCTCTGCCTTCTAAGCTGAGGTAAGGTTACAAACAGTTACTTATTTGTCAGAATGTCTGTATTTTAAGACAAATTAAGTGTCTTGTGCGCTCTTTTTTCCAACTGTAGTCAGCTTTCACGTTACGCATATAGCGCATGCGTCTATCACCTTGAGCGAGCTCGGCACTCCCCCCGTGACATAAAACTCTGTCTGTTGCTCTCAATAGCTACGTTTACATGGACAAAAGTAATCGGATTAAACAACCGTTTGGAATAAAAATGCGTCATGTAAACAGCCCGTTCCGTTTATTCTGATCCAATGGAGCTCGATCCAAATGAATTTTTAATCCGAATGAAAAGGGTGGGTTATGCCGATTGATAATCGGAATGACGTTCATGTGTCATCTTATTCTGATTGTAGAAAACTGACCTGTGTGCGCTTGTCTGCTGACTTTCATTCACCCGGTTAGAGGAGGTGAAACAGCAGCGCTCCAGCTGCGTAGCACCGCACAGAACTTTTCCTCCTCGCTCTCTTAACAGATGAAAAAGGAGGCAAACAGCAGACGTTGMTTCGCAAAAAATAAAAAGCACGTATTGCTTCATCTGCAGGCTGCAGCTCAACCGAGGAGTAACGGCGTCTCTACCGTTATTAAAAGCTGACATGGGTCCGTCCTGAGCGCATAGAGGAGCGTTGTTTACGTTTGTAACACGGAACTTGAGCTGAACGTTTACAACACTGCGCATGTCCTGACTTTTATTATGAATAAAACTCCGGTGCATGTAAACACTTTTCATGACTGGATTGTGTCCATGTAAACAGTACATTCGGATTATTTAATCTGAATACATTTCAATCCGATTAAAAAATTTTGTGCATGTAAACAGAGCTAATGTCCGGCTGATGATCGCATCAAAGTCCATGTACTTTATCCTGCTGTGTTCGCTTCAAAAACAGTTTAACTCATTTAGCTTCTCAATTTCTCAACTGGTTTTCTTCAGGACCTGCCCTGCTGTTCGACCCACAGTTATAC